AACATCAATTGTACTTAGATAAATTAACACAAACTTCATGTACTTAAACTTCAGCGTAAGAGTACTCAACTATTGGAAAAATATTTGTTACAGCTTTTTTTCCAAGCTGTGTCTTACTACCAGAAAACAAATGTTTTCTAGACCTGAAAATGCTTCATTGCTCAGTCTTCTGGATTGTGACTACTGGTATATTAATGTTGCCTTTGTTACAAGACATGAAAAGTGCTAGCTTACATCAGTGGCATGCATTTACTAATAAAATGCAACCATTATCAACTACAAGAGAATTAATGAACTGTGGGGAAGGCATTTCTACTGAGCCCTATCTTCCAGCAACCTAGAGTGTTCCAGACTTATCATGGTTTATCATAGTTATCATAGCTCCAACTTTAGAAAAGAACCAAACCAAATTTGGAAAAGCTACTTCTTCCCTCAAAAAAATTTAAGCTATAAACTCAAAACACCACATTTAGCCACCTACGATAAAATTGTTTTATTCACGAAAAAAATCTGTCCCTTTAAATAAATAGCAGTCAGGAGCAATAATCTGAATTCATTTATTAAAAGATTTTATTCATACTTGTCCTATAGCACTAGATGGAAAAATAAAAATGAATAAAACAATTTTTAAAAATCTACATACAAAAAAAATCTGCAATGTGAACTTACTGAATGAAGTAGCTACATAATAGATCAATAAACTATGTTGTTTCAGCTTGTTGAAGCAATTTTTCAGCAACCAGTCTTTACAGTAGATGGCAATAATTGTGTTCATATGACTAATTCCATTTTCTATTTCTATTCATCTCAGATTTAGCAATTAGAATTTTTTCAGAATTACCTAAGGGAGCTTCAGTGACAAAATAAATGGGAGTTTAAAGGAATTGTACATCAAATTTCATCCTATCTATAATAATAGACATTGTGGTGCAAGTACATAGCCAGATTCATATCTGTTACATACTGATTGTGAATACCAATGTTTTCTTCCACATGTGGCTCTCCCTTACTGAATCAGGAGAATATGTTGCTTTCCAATTACTGTATTTCTTGTTTTAAATATAGTAAGCCATGTCAGCTTCATCAAGGAGAATAGAGGGTCTAGGAGAATAGCTCTTAAGTATTTTTAAAACGTAGTAAATCTTGAGAGGCCTTTTGAGCACAAAACTACTAGAAGATTGAGTACTTATTATATCTTTATATCATCAAGCATATAGCAAGTATTATTTAATGACTTTCCACATGCTAAGTCCAAACAATTTTAAAGGTATAATCAGACTAATTTTATATTTTCATACATAACTCTTACTTGGTCACATCTGAAGTACTCAATAAAGCACAGAATAATCTAAGGGAAAGCCTAACCACCACTACAGTATACACAGAATATCTTAAGCAGTGATTTTGCAATGACATTTTACTTTAATTTATATAGAAAAAGGATAATCTATTACCCATAAGACATACAGATTCTTTACCAAACAAGCAGTTGGATGATAAAGCTGCACATACCTTTTGAAAGATTGATTTGGGTTTTATACATATACAGTACTTCCTAGCAAAATCTCGGAGTCTTCCTTCTCTCCTCCCCTTCTTACAGTCTTTTTCTGCTATCTCTCTTCCATAACTCAACTAACCCAACAGAACCGGCCAGTTTTAAATTTCAGTTGGGACCTCAGTGACCTGTTAATGAATCTACAGAGAGGAGGAAAAACTCACTGTGTTGAGTTATGCCTGGTGTTCCTAGCTGACTAGGAGTCAGAAATGCTTGAAGCGTTAACGTAATTGGAAGAATGTGAAAAATGAAGCGTTGGGCTCCTGAGCAAAGTGAAAGGTCAAAGCAAGACTTACACAAAACAAGTCTCTGGAAGATGGCCTCATTATACCATTAAAACAGTTTCTTCTCTCCCTTGCCCCCACCTAGTTTTCTTCCTTTGTAAAATGTTTTAGTGTTTTATGTCTATTAATAAGTTTAATTAATCTTTCTAGTTTTTAAGTAAGCAAGTTAATAAATGCATGCAAGAAAAGAAAGCCAAGGATATTTAACTTTTTGATCTTAGATAGAATAATATTGTCTGAAACAATTTTGCGTCTATGATTTGAACCATGGTAAGGCAGTAAGTGGTACTAATACTAATGCAGCCATTATACTATTACAATGTATCGAATAGTTTACTTGAACAACTAAGATGACTTGCTAAAAAAAACTTCATAGAACTGAGCTAATATAATTAGGATTATCTTTCACTGAACAGCGGTCAAAGGCTTTAACTCTTCCAATACCAGCACTTAAATTCACTCCATTGTACTTTTCATTTCATACTTTTTCATTTTATAAGGGTGCACTGTAGCTTTTTTAATAAAATATAAATATTCTTTATATTTTTTCCATTTATAAATAATGATTTTGGCAATAAACTTTGTTATGTTCTCCCAAGTTATCAAGTACCATATGTGTATCTGGAACATAAATGTAGAAGGTTCAACTATTCCAGTGTTGTTCACCTCCTCATGATACACATACAATGAATATATCCAATGAGAAATGCAGTAAGGATTATAACTTTCAGTAATATTTGTTTTATCAAACTATAAAAGCTGGGAAAGCAAACAATGTGACGCCTACAAATAAACAGAGAATGTGTATAGAACAGATAATAGTGTATTAGAAGTCAAGAAGATTAAAGTATGATGAGAAGGCTGACAGACAAAGATAGAAACTCTAATACTTGCTTATCAGTGTATTGTAATGTAGCACTAATCATTTTATATAATTCATCCCAAGGAATTTTTATTGATATTTTAGTTGCCAAGAAAATTGCATGGATATGTGTGTGAAATCACCATAGTCATGATCAGCTTGAAGGGGGTTTTACCTTTAGAATTCTATAGCAAACTCCTTTATACAACTCATTCCCAGCATAGTCAATGGAATTGGAATTGGCTAAGGGATAAGAAAAGCAGGGTTTGAAGATTTAAACATAAAATTAAAAAAAGGTTAGGTCCCCCACATTCTTGCTGTATTAAATTAAGTTACAAGGTAACTGTCTAGATTTGGAAAAGCACAGTCTAGATGAAAAATATTTCCTTCTGAACATAATATAAACATGTTGAGTCATTACTGCATCTGACTCAAGTCAATGGAAAATTTTAAAAACTAACACCACTTGTTCAAAGTAGCCTTTTAAAAACTATTTTTAAAGAAAACGGGCCTTTTCAACCGATGACTGATTTTATTACTAAAAGCAGGCATATAACTAATTGATATGGCACCCATTATGCAGAGATATAACTCCTAGTTCCATCATTCCAATCCAGATTATTTCTCCAAGCCAATAGGAAGGTATTTTTCCTGAATGGTTCATAGCAGCTTGTGTCTGCATGTGATTTGAATCAGGGCCATTCCTTGAGGCAAGATTTAAATACCTTCTGTGCCACATAATGGCTCAGACCCAAATCACACCTTGTAATATGTGGCTGTATACCTTAATCTAAGCTTTCCCACAACTGCCTCTAGTCTTGGAAAGAGAAGTGAAAAAATATTGGGCAAATATTACTGAGGATGGTCCTGATTTCTGGAACAGAGATAAACAAGCACAGAGTATTTGTTGCTTTAGGACATGAAAATTTACTCCTGATGAAGGTAAATAGCTATCAATCTAATTTAGTGAGTTCATCATGGAGTTCATCCAGGAATTATATACATTCACAACACTCATTTGTTTTTAAATATACATAATCATATATATAGGAATCAATTATTGCAACTGGTATGAGTATTTTTTTAAAAAAAATCTGAAATTCAAAATTTAAATCTGTTGGACAAATTATACAATGCAAATCTATTTTTGCTCATATGAAGACAAGTACATCTTCTCTAAACTTTTGGTTTCTATATTAAATAACTGGCATCAATAATATACTTTCATAAATAGAAGTTAACAACATTGTAAAGATGTAGGACAGTTTTGAAAAAACTAGATTATTAACACTGAGATGTTAGCAAATATCTTAGTTTAATCTTTGCAAAAAGATGACTAGCTAAACTTTAAGGACTAAATATGATTTTTAAAAACCTTGATTATGCAAACTGGAAGTATTAAGTCAGTAAAGTGTTAAATTGGATTCCAATCCCAATTTAACAGGGAGCAAATCCCATTTGATTTTTTAATGTGATTTATTTGTGAACAGCTATCAACATCATTGTCCCATTAAGTGTATAACATGTTCATATTAACTATGCTAAAGTAGGACTATAATTATGATGGGTACAATGCTTACGTCTTATACCACAATTCTAAAAATGTTATCTGACATAACTAATTTATTAGTCATTTATATAACTGATACAAACTTAACCTATTTCCAAATAAAGCAGAGTAGGTAGAAATATTAAGTGGTAATCCACAAGCAACTCATTACAAAAGGAATTCTTCATTTTATTAGAATACTTTAGTATAAAATCTACTGCCAATTTCAAACCATTCAATAAATGCATCCTTTGTGGGGATGAGTCAAAATTGTTTTTGTTTTCTTCCTGCACTGAGTTAAGAAGAACATTTCAACTGGCTTGAAAAGCCTTTTTTCAGTTGACTGTAATATTTTTCTATTTAGAGACTAACGTGAATTGATACACCACAGCTGGGGTGCATGTCTGCCACGATATTTACTTACACCACACATGTATGCACACACACACACACGCACACACAGATAAAATCCTGTAGATAACCAAATTTGTAAAGGAATTGGCAGAACTAATCAATTGTTATTGCAAAGCTTGTTTGAAGATTAGATATTTGGCTTTCAAATAAAAATAAAATACAGCTAAGAAGGTTGAAAAAAAGGAAACAAGTGTCTCCCTAAGTTACAGCTGATTACATTGCAAGCCTGCCATTCATGTGTTTACACTAAGGCAGATGTACTGATATAATAAAAGACACTGAAGTTATTTTAGTCATGCCTACTTTGCACAAGGAAAAAAAAGCTTGACCTTTTACCTTGCTCACTGCTGTTGTCTCCACTCTGGGAAGCATGGCCCCCACTGGAAGGCCCTGGTGTGCCTGCTGAGTGCGTTGACGTTGCATCATCATGATCTCTCCAAGAGGAAGGATTCTGGTGTCAGATTGTCCATTTTTTCCCACAGTTATCATTCCAATAGCAAATCGAGGAAGGGAGGTTGGGAAGCCAGAAAAAAAGTAGGCAGGTTAGCATTTGCAAATATTCCTAAAATTCAGACACTGTTCAGAGGCAAATGATTACTGAGGTTGCAATCCTATACCATTTTATCTTGGGATGTATACTCCTGAAGATATGAGATTTGTTTTTGATTCAATATGTACAGAAATATATTGTGACATACTAACTATATTTAAGTCACTTTCATTTTCATATAGTTACATCATAATAAAGTGCAATTCTAATAATATTTTAGAGTTCTTTTCTTTAAGAGCTTTTTTTTATTATTTTTTATATTTGTAACAATCAGTTCATCAGTTAAGGAAATATTTTAACATTTTATATTTATACGGTCACAAAATAATTCCATAGATGAGCCTATGAAGGCACATTACATTCAATAGCAATTATTCCCAAGTAAATCAATATATGATTGCTCTCTAGTTCTGATAATAATAAAAAAAACCTAGAAAAAACACAAAAACTGTGTTTTTTTTCTCTATTATAACATCTATTACAAATAATACCCTAAACAAAATATACCTAATACAGAAGATGGATGATGTTTTTAAAAGATTATACAGCTAAAGGTTAACTAGATATGTAAGGTCATTAAATGGTCATTTGCAATATATTCTTCTACAACTTTTCTATCTGGTATATAATGGCAATACATGAACTAATAATCATTGAAGATTTGGCAAAGCTTCCCTAATTCTACAGTAGTTTAGTAATATAATTACCATTTTTTTACATTTATTGATCATCGGTTTTCCTGTAGAGAACTGCTATTTAAAAAGATACATGAAGAAAGCTGAAAGTTGCAGCTAACTGCTACTTCACTACGCATATTCTCCTCCTGTTCCTCCTCCCTTTTCCTGATCATTCCCAATACCCTGCTGTTGCTTAAAGGAAAACAGGAATTCTACTGTACAGGAAAAGCTTTATCAGCACCACATGAAGGCAGGCAAGGGATGGAATTTCCTCCATCAGAAAAGGAGAATAAGAACACATGCAATAGATCAGACTTAGAGCTGAACTTCCATTGCTTGTCACCTATCCATGACAGCTTAAATTAAACACATCCTAACAAGAAGCACTTTTGTAAAATATTCAACATTCAGGGAAATATCATGAACCCTAAGCAATTCCACAGAGGAGGCATCAATATTTACTTTGCAGTAAATTTTAGCATCACCATCAACAATTACATCTAAAAATTTAGAAAATTTAGAAAAATACCGATCTGTTCAAAACTGGAGATGGGAAATAACCCCAATAATTAAAGCTTTTTAATGATTCCCCCAAAAGTATTGCAATTTGAGTCAAATGCTTAATTACTTAATTAATTACCAGGCTGGCAACTGAAGCTCAAGTTATCATCTTTAAACTATGTTCTAAATAATTTCTTATAAAATATCAAGTAAGCCTAGATAATCACATTCCAACACTAAACTGAATGGGCATTAATGTCTAAGCAGTGAAAGAGAGATAAATGGAAACAAATAGTTAATAATAACTACACAACTCTGTTCCTCAGATCAGTAGAACAATCTACAAAAATAAATCAAAATTGAAATAATGCATTAAAAATAATTTTCCATCAATCTATACATTTTTGCCTAAATCAATTTCCACATTATAGAAAGTCACACTGAAAAATAACAAAATGCTATAATTAAAAGTAATACTCTTCAAATTAATATTCTCCTCCCACAATATACAAAAATAATACCATATTGCAAACTGAGGGAAGGTTTAAAATAAAAGAAAAAGTTAAAAATGTTTTGATTTTATATCTATTGTGTGTGTCTATAGGGAGACACACAGAGATGCATACACATGTGTATATGCATACACAAAACTATTTCAAAAAAGCAATGTTGATTAGATTTCAGGAAAACTTATATGGAAATAAAATGTCACGATCAAGCAAGTTTCTGTGCAGTCTCGATTAAACAGATTGAGCCTACGAGCTCCTCTTTTTATATCTGAGTTAGGAAACCACTCAAATAGCTTCAAGCTGAAGGCAAACAGCAGACAGGAGCACTTTAGCCCTCTGCAGCCTCTCTCAGCGTCAGCTGTTTGCCGGATGGTAATCAGATAAAGAGTTAGTAGAAATACATGAAAAAGGTAACAAAACAATAGCCCGGCATGCATGTGGTCCTCCAACATCATGTTGAAAGCTGCTCTTTATAAAATTTATAAAACAATATTTTCCTAGGACACATATTTCAGACACTATAATATTAATGTTATGTTCCTCAGGTTTTCTTAAAAGTCGCTTCTGTTGAAAGTCCTTAGCTCACTATTAAAATTTTAGTAATTTATCCAGTTATCACCTTAGTTAAGTTTTAAGGCACATGTTAACCAAAACCATACAGTACCATACAGGTGTTTCTGGTTTATATAAGGACATTGAGAGAAACTTCTTGCAGCAGAGATCATTTGCTTTTTATGCCTTCACTCAGAGTTCCAATCTCAATTAGAAGGGGGGATGGTGGCTACAATAACTGATAGCCATTGTGGGGGGTTGGACCCTATAACTGTCTTTTATTCTTCCAAGAAAAGAATAGTAGAGGAAATTGGGAAGAATATATGGAATATTTGTGTTTCACCTTCAACTTCCCAACTGTTCCCTTCCTGTGTCTGACATTAGGTTTGGCCAAAAACCGTAATCAATCATTCATTATTAGTACTGTAACAAAATGGCATCATATCCATAATTTGAGACCATTATTCATGACCAAATAAACTGTCAACAGGTCAATGGCAACAATGAGATCTTTCATTCTGGGTATGTATTTCTATAGAATTATTTAATGTAAGTAAATTTGGTCACAGATTATTTATTTATTTATTTATTTATTTATTTATTTATTTATATTAAGATACTGCCCCACTGCACAAAAAATTAAAGTCACCCTAGGAATACTTAAGTAGTAAAATAACTTTCTAATTTTAACATAGTAGGCCAATAGTGTCCTGCCAGAAGCTTTAGCTTCTTTCATCTAAAAGATTGTATGCTACCATGATATTTTGCCTTGATTTACTTGAGTGTATTTTGGGGCAAATTTTGGGAGAGAAAAGTAACTGGAAAATTGCAAGGGAAGATACTAAGAAATTGACCTTTTGTATGAACAGAAATGCATCACATTGTAGACGGCACTTGACTGCCCAATTTTCTAGAGAATTCACTGTATTCATACATAGGTACTACATGTTATTGATTAAATCCACTTTTTGAAAATGATTCAAACATATCATTATTTTTGGATGCTAGGGCAGTTTTATTTACATAACCCTATAGGTTTTGAATCATTGAAACTCATATGTTGATAATCTATATGCTGAATTCAGCTGGAATCAACTTTTCTTGTATAACCACTAGAGCCCTGAATAATTTATATTTCAGTATTGTAGAAAAAAATCTGGCTAAATTTAAATATGATAATAGAACGTATTATCTCAAACAATATATACATCATCTCAAACAACATATACATACTGAGCTGAAAAGAACATAAGCTTGTAGTCAGAAAAACTTTCATACTTATGAAGATATAACTTCAGTATAGAAATATGCTGAAACATTCAGAAAACAACTTAGCATATGAAAAGCTACTCAAAAAGTCAACTCACTTTATCTAACTATCTTTTGGAAATGGCGTGTTTAACTTGAAGCCAATGTTTAGTAGCAATGCAGATGTTAAGGGGAGGGGGGTACTTTGAACAGCACCCATATTTTTAAAATTGTTATTCCATAGCTTAAAAATGGGACAGCGTAAGAATTGAATTAAGACAATTATAACCTGTCACGGCAACTATTTATTTAACTTTGTACATAATATTATGACACATATTCAAACAGTAAAAAAGTATGAATATGCTGAATTGAATCACCAGCTGAAGTGCCATGTACTATGGAATGCAGAGTTCACATGTATCTATTCCCAATAGTTTTAATAATTGGGAGTCAAATATGGCACTGCTCTTGCTCTTATCTAATTGTGTTAAAGAGCAGTGTTACCAGGAGCAAAGCAGTAATACTGAGTGGCACACAATAGAAGGAGATGGAAAATAGATACAAGAAGCTAGGTCTCCAGGGGCAGTATTTTCTATTTGCTGGGCTAAGACTCACAGCTGATAATGCAAGTTGTAATTAATATAAAAGCAGGAGACAATATGGGGAAGGCTTGTACTAGCAGGGCCACAGGAGATCACTCTGCAGCTATCTACTGTTTCTCATTATGTATACAGCTTTTCACAGAAACACAACTTTGCCAGTATTTTTCCCTTGAAAGTTTTAAAAAAATGATTTAGCACCATCATTGGATTTTGCTAAATCTAGAGAAGAGCGGGGAAAGGACAAGAGTCTCTAGGCATATGAAGCAAATGTCCTGCGTACTGTTTTGCTGTTCTTACAAATCTAATGGAAGTTTAAATGTTTTAACTCCTGCATGCTTTTTTTAAAAGAAAGAAATATTTTCAGCACAGACCTGTTTTATAATAATTATTTATTAACATTCCTCAGAGGCATGAGATTGTTTATATGCTTGAATACTGGTCACTCATCTTGTACAATGCCAAGGTTAGTGATTTAATAAGCCTCAAACTTCTGTGTAAATGACAGCTTACACAGATACAGATGGATTAACTCTGCTTTCCTTATGCAACCCAAACTTTCACTGGGCACAATCACTTTAATTATGCAAGGGGCCCCTGTGGGCTCAATTCTGATCTCACACTGTTTTTATAGTAGTACAACTCAATTCATTATGAAATTACTTGTATTTCAAAATAATATTTTTAACTGTCTACCTATCTATATTGCCTCATGCTAGTCAGTGAATAGCAGGAAGAAGATAGAATCAATTGATTTTGATGGGCATTTATATGCAAAAATAAAAATTAGCTCTCCTATCTATGGCATTCGT